CTATCTATCTATCTATCTATCTATCTATCTATCTATCTATCTATCTACACACTCATACACAGATGCAAGTTGATAAAACAGTCTTTACCTGCTTTGTTCCTTTGGACCTTAATGACATCAAAGAATCCCTGAGTACCATTGGATTGAGTAGAAAGACAATTTTGAAATTATCTAGTTACTCAAATCCCTTATTCATATCTCTGCCTTCAGAAAGTGCGCTCTTTGGGGGCAAAGACTGTTTTGCCAGCACAGTGCCTTACACAGAATAAGCACTTAATAAATGCTTACTGATTGACTGATTTGATTGATGGTGACATAACAAAAGAGTGATTATCCTGCCTCTAATTGAAGACATCCAGAGATGAGAGGCTCTGCCTCTGGAAGCAGCCCACATTCCAATTATGGATAACTCTAATTGTTAGGAACTATTTCCTTATATTGCATTTTCTGTTATTATCATCAATAAGCCAAAATAATCTATAGTATGTTCAGAAAGGACCATGGGGAATATCCCTGGAGGTGTGAAAATACAGTAGGGACAGCTCAATGTCCCCTTCACCACAGCTCAGAAATACACAAATGTACAAGGCAAGAAGACTGCTCATTTCTCTGGTTACACTCACACACAATCTGTGTTTATCTATGTCAACATCCATATATAATAAATGTTACATATTTTTGTTACTCAAATCTGAAATCAAAGCAGGTCAATTACCTCTCCTCAATCTTCAGGATGTGCTAACGCATTTTGGATTCTGCCCTGTCAAAAGCATCACCCATTTTGCTAAGTTTGGCAGTCGGGAAGCTCACACAGGGAGAACCACTTCTCACCATACACTAGCTGTGAAATAGATCTGCATTGTAGCTGTTGGGGAGTTATAAACAATGTCACCTCCAAACAATACAAGGCAAAGCTCATGAGGGATGGTTTTCTCTAGGAAATTTATTTCTAAATCCATTTCACAGTTTGTTCATGGTGAGAAGTGGTTCCTGCCACGTGGACACCCAGAACATTGTTCCTAAGAAAATGGGTGTGGATGTCTTTGGTCTGCACTCATTTCCTAATCCTCATCAAGCAAACTAGCTATGGAAGAAGATGATTCTTGCTTCTTTCTTAGCTGGGCTCTAAATGAGTTCTACCTGACCATCATGCTTGAATGAATGAATGAATGAATGAAAACAAACAAATAAATAATCACCATCACCACCACCACCACCAACAACAACAACAACAACAACTACAAGATTGAGATGCTTGGGAGGTGATGGTAATAGCAGAGCAAAAGGATATAATCTTTGGAAAACCCTAGGAGCCACTGTGGCATAGGGGCAAGAGCACTGGTTAGAACAAATATGGCATATTGTCTTGAGTTTTGGGAGCCATATTTTTTAAAGGTCATTAATGACCTGGAGGGTCTATGGACTGCAAGAGTTCTTCAAGTGGGGTCTGTGAACTTTTTAAAAAATATTTTGATAGCTATATTTAAATATATTTTCCCACTCTAATCCAAATTATTTTAATTTATGCATTTAAAATTATTCTGAAAATGGCTTCATAGGCTTCATCAGACTGCCCAAATGTTCCATGATATATAAAAAAGGTCAAGAACTCCTAGTCCAGAGGGAGGTGACTAGGATGATGATGAGAGTCTCAGAGAATATGCCCTATAAAAGTCAGATGAAGGTGCTGGCAATGTTGAACTTGTAGACGAGAAGGCTTAAGGGCACAATTACTTTCTATCAGTATGGTAACGGCTGTCATGGAGACTGGATTTCTGCTTAGCTATGGTTTGGATTATGTAAGTTCCTAGATTCCTCAAAACTCCAAGTTTCTGAGATCCTGGGGATCTTCATTAAGAAAGCCAAGATTCAAATTCTGTTTCTGATGCTTAGGAGCTATAGGACTCTAAATAAGGGAAGTTCAATTCAATAAACTTTTTTTTTTACATATTTACTCTGTGTAGGCTATACAAAGAATAGTCTCTGCCCTCAAGGAACTTACATTCTACTGCAGAGATAAACTATACACACAGAGAACTATATACAAAGTAACACAAAGTAGTTTCAAGAAGAGAGTTGGGGGCACCAAGAAAAGCCTCACATAGGGGATGGGTACTTCTGGTCTCTGGGCCTCTGAATCTTCCTCATCTGCAAAATGGGAACAACAGTGCTTGCATTAGCAAGGCAGCCCAGTGGAAAGAGAGTTAGGCTTGGAGTCAAGTAGACCTGAGTTCAGATTTGACCTCAAATACTTTCCTAGCTGTGTCATCCTCAGCAAGTCATTTAACCTAGGTTTGACTTATTTTTCTCAACTGTAAAGTGGGGATCATAATTATACCTATCTGCCAGGGTTGTTGTGAGGATCAAGGGAGACACTATTTGTAAAGTGCTTAGTATAGTGCCTGGCACATAGTAGGCACTAGATAAATGCTTATTTTTTTCCCTTCCTCTTCTTTAAGCTTGTAAGTTTGTTTTCCATCAAATGGGATAATGTAGCTAAAGTGCTTTTGGAATGCTAAAACTCTCTAGAAAGGTATACTATTGATGTGGTTTACTTCTGAATTGAATTATAAAGTTAATTTTCAGTATTTTCTCACAGAAGAAATAGCATTTCATAGGGTCCTCAACTGCCTCCCTTTTATAGGTTCAGAATGTCACATTCCTTTAGTTGAACACATATGGGAATTAATTTGCATTTACCTTAAAGAATATGTAGTCGTCCTGCACAGTCAAGGAATTGTGGTCAATGCTGCTGGCAAATGGAATCGTGGGTGTTCTATCAGAGCAATTCTGAGACTGACAGGTGACATATCGGAAACCTGGGGAGAACAATGACCAAAATCTATTCTTGTAAAGTAAACTCAAAAGAAAACCAATATTTTAGTGTTCTCATTGGTGAAGGAAACAGCTATGTTAGATAACAGTCTGTCATGTTAAGTACCATTCGTGAACCTCATTGTGATGCTGTGCCCACCACCAAAGTATCAACATTGGTATTCCCATCTTATCAGTACTCTCTGGCCCTCTGATTGAAGGGCTGGAGGCTTGAGCAAAGAATTCCTCCCAAAGGGCTCCTAGGCCATCAACCTAATTTCCAACCAATTGCACTCCTTGGACCAAGCTCCACCATAATCATGCTTCTAGGAAATCTTGTCACAAAGAAACTTATCAACCTGTGAGGTTAGTGCTCCTACCTCATTATTATGCTCATCATATTCTGCCCCTTTTATTGTATTGCTGGAGGAAAGAGCAAAGAATTCCTATCAAAGCCTCCCCTTAAAGAGAGCTTCATTTTGACCCAGTTGATTTCTTGGACTGTTTGTGTTGTTCAGTCATTTCAGTCGTGTCCAATTCTTCATGACCCCATTTGGGTTTTTTTTGGCAAAGATACTAGACTGGTTTGCCATTTCCTTCTCCAGCTGATTTTATAGACCAGGTACTGAGGCAAAGAGAGTTAAGTGACTTGCCCTGGGTCACAAAACTAGTAAGTGTCTGAGGCCAGATTTGAACCCATGAAGATGTCTCCCTGATTCCAAACCCAGTGCTCTATTTACCTAGCTGCCCCCTCCTTGGACTATACTCCACCATTAATGCCTATTTTTACCTCTCCCTCCTCACTCCATTTTCACCTTTCTTTTGTGTGTGGTCTTCTTCCATTAGATTGGAAGCTCCTTGAGGATAAGGACTGTGTTTTTTTTTTTTAATTTGTACTCCTAGCACTTAGCATAGTGCTTATAGCACTTTGCTCAACAAATGTTTATTGACTAACATCCAGTTTTTAAATTAAAATTCTCTTGTGATATTTCATGATGGTGTATAGTGGACCCTAGTTTCTTAAAGTATATGCCTTTAGCGTACAAGCTCAAGCAGGTCCTATCAAGCTCAGATTATTTCTCACTACCAGCCCTTCCCTCCCAACCCTCTTGTAGCAGAGGACTTGCCATTTTAAATGTTGTATTCTCAATGCATAGCACACTCCCCTGAATGGAGAGCTTAACTAATTTTGCTGAATTGAGTATGGGAGAAACAACCACTGTCACTCCAAAGTGAGCTTAAAGAAGTTTGGAAAGCTTCATTGTTCTAGGGACGAGGATGAAATACTTTGGCCACAGGAATTCGTGAAAATTGTCTGTAAAAACATAGGGGGGCAGGTAATCTCTATCAGGAAGGTAGTAGCCATGGCAACAAAATTGAGACACATTTCTTAAGTGACACTGTGTACAATGTAATGTGTGAGAGACAAAGTGTATATAAAACATAGTCCCTGACTATAAGGTGCTTATGGTCTAGAGAGATAATAAGATAGAGAGAGATAGAGATAATGTCCAATGGCACATGGTAAGAGCAGTAGAGAGCTGCTAAGTACTCAGTGAAGAGTATGGGAATTATTTGCTTTTCTTAGGAAATGAGCTTTATTTTTTTTATAAATTAAATTTATCACCTGAGTCATATGACAAAGGATAGTCTTCTCTTGTGTAGGGCTGGTCCTTCAAGAACACTGGTTCTTTCTCTAAGCCAAAGCACTGACTGTACTAGAGGTATCATTATTCATACATAAATGGTAAAAACTGGACCTTTGATCTACTCTTTGTTCTAAACAGATTCTTTTCAATAAATTTTTTTTTTAGGCATTTGGGGTTAAGTGACTTGCCCAGGGTCACACAGCTAGTAAATGTCAAGTGTTTGGTCTCGGACTCGATTTGAACTCAGGTCCTCCTGACTTCAGGACCAGTGTTCTATCTACTGTGCCACCTAGCTGCCCCCCAATAATTTTTTTTCAAGGAAGATGCTTGCTTGTCAGAAGATCTTCAATTTTTAAATAAAAAGGGGAGAGATAAAGAGATATTGTGTACATATGGGTATATGTGTGCGTGTGTGAGAAAGAGAGAGAGAAAGAGAGAAACAGATAGACAGAGAGAGACAGAGAGAGACAAGAGACAGAGAGAGAGCAAGTCCTGTTAGTGACAAAGGATGATTGTGTGACCCCAGACCTCAGTTCTTTAGGGAGCTCTAAAGTTTCAGAGAAAATTTTGACATGAATTGGTAAAAAGTAGAGGGAATTTCCTCATCTTAGAATTCCCTATATCTATGAAATCAGAGGTCTGGTCCTTATCCCAATCCTATTTTAAAACTGTTCATTCATTCATTTTACCTTTCAAGGAAAATCCTTGAAAAAATAATTAAGAGTTTATGTCAACAACTTAAGGAAACAAAGTCATTTACAGGCAATGAAGCCAGGACTGGTATCCCCAAACACACACACACACACACACACACACACACACACACACACACACACACACACACACACACACACACAAGCACTGTGAGGGCATCATCACAGGGCATTTTCAATATAAAGAAAGGAGTCAGCAAGCAGTGTGGGGGGCACTCAAGCAGAGTAGCAGAGGTCAGTGGCATATGCAGCTGTTTCCACTCTGAATATTACTAAGGGAAACTCAAAACACAAAGAGCAGCCAGGTTCTTACGATACCAGTAGCATGGGAGAGTGGAAGGAGCACTGGTTTTGAAGTCAATGGCCTGGGTCTGAATTCTCCCTCTGAAGCTTACTACCTGTGTGACCTTGGAAAAGCCACCTAAATTCTTCAAGGACCTTTAAGTGGTGACTTAATCAATGTTGGCGGTGGTGCCAGGAGAGACTGGAGAAGAGAATGGCTGACTTTTCTTTCTTACTTTCTTTTTCTTTACTTTTTCTGAGGCCCAGGAAACTGGACCTCAGTTTCCTCACACATAAAATGAAGAGTATTAGACTCTGTGTCCTCTGAGGTCCCTTGTAATTCTATTATAGTCCTCTGATCCTAAAATAGCTTCTTGCTTGGGAAACACAGAGGTGACAGGCAGGAAGAAGGCATTGGACTTCAGGGATATTTTGCATGGAGAGTGGTTTCCTGTTTTACTATCTTTTCATGTGAGTTAATGCATCTCCTTGAGATATCCTTTCAGGATATTTGAGCTCCCAAGTAATATTTCAACGGCTATTTCTTTCTAGGACAGTAGAGATCTTTGAAGGGAGATTCTTTTGGACTCTACTTATCTATGGTCACTGTGAAGGAATACAGGGACCAGACTGAGCTCTTCAGATTACAAATGGGCAGAGCCCCAGTAATATCTGGCCCCAGATGCTAATGATCAAGTGTATGCCTGATTGGGTTTAGCAGAAACTTCTCTTCTCACTCATAGAAGATATCTCCTCAGAGAAGCAACATCATTTTGATAATCCTTACTGGGTTTATGTACTTATATATTGGGAAGTCAGAGAACCATAATCAAAAGGAAAGTAGAATTTTACCTGGAGAAAGAGAGAGGTGAAAACTGGGACATTTTATGGAATCAAAAATGGAAGGTAAAACAAACTAGTTAGGTCAATTACACTAAATTATGCTTTCTCCACCAGTCCTGTAGAAATAGTCATTCAGGTCCAAGATTTAAAGTCTCAAGCATCATATTTGTTGAATATTGCAAATATTTATTAATATATGTAGTATCTTTGGATTGAGGGATTCCCAGCCCCCTCCCCAACCACCACGACTAGTTCAACTGTACATGGTTGGGACTTATAAATACTGTTTGAATGAATGAATGAGCAAAAATTTCAGAAAAAAAAATGTTATTCAAACTAGGACCTAAGCTGCTTCCTAAGTTTGACTTAAGTGAAATTAGGCTTCAAGAAAGTGGATATCTCTTCCAGGAGATAGGTTGCTTGCTGTATACTAAAGAACAATACTGGCCATTGAAAAACATACATATATGAGCATGAAAGAAACTGGCAGTGTTTTGCTTTAGGGAAAATGCTTGAACTATTTTTCAAATATTTATGGTTGAGCAAAACCACAAACATATTTTGCCAGACATCTGTTCCTTTTATATTTAAACCATTCTGTTTCCCAAGGGAAATTGAATCCTTAGGTTTTTGACTCATCAACTGAATTCTCTGGCAAGGGATTGCTGGTAAATCAGCAGTGCTAATGAGCCTTTTTTTCTAGCTGTATCATTTGGGAAGTTGCAACTCAAAAGCACTAAACAAAATGGAAATTCTCAAAGATTCAGGTTTGGATCTAAAATCACCCTGGTGTGCATTTGGAGATTTCTCTCTCTCATCTAGTTTACTTTGATTACTTCCCCCGCCATACCCAAGTCCTTCCATGAGCCCTCACTGTGGCTGGAAAACAACCCTGGGGTCTCAAAAGCTATGCACAAGCCCTGGGAGGTCCTACCAAGTTGACAATAGGGAAGGATGGAGGAAAGAAAGGTACAGCAATTGATTATCTGTAGTCCAAAGACCAGATGAGTTCAATAATGAGAAGTTCACTACAAGAGAAAGGTTGATTTGAGAGGCGATAGCAATAGCGGAAGAAGGCAGAAGGAAGAGGAAGGAAGAAGGAGGAAGGAGGAAGGAAGAAGGAGGAAGGATAAAAGAAGGAAACAAGCCTTTATTAAACCCTGACAATGTGCCAGGTACGATACTAAGCATTTTATAAAGATCTCATTTGATCCTCACAACAACCCTGGGAGATAGGTTTATTATTATACTCATTATACAGTCCAGAAAACTGAGGCAGACAGAGGTTAAGTGACATGCCTAGAGTCACACAGCTACTTAGTATCTGAGGTCAAATTTGAATTCAGCTCTTCCTGACTCCAGGCTCAGTGCTTTATTTTCTGCACTAACTGGCTGCCTCAAGTTGGAGTTGGGGGGAAGTGTAACTCATGAAGACCATCTCCTAAGGGACTGGAGGGAGCTGTGATTTGTACTGGTCAAGGGAACAGAGGAATAGAGCAACCAATATTTTTAAAATCCAATTTTTTTTTAAAAAGTCTATGATTTCATCGAAGGCAGCTAGTTGGCTCAGTGTACTAGGCCTGGAATCAGGAAGACCTGAGTTCAAGTGTGACCTCAAATATTTGCTAGTTATGTGACCCTGAGCAAGACACTTCACCTTGTTTGCCTCAGTTTCCTCATCTGCCAAATGGTCTGGAGAAGGAAAAGGCTAAACACTCTAGTATCTTTGCCAAGAAAACCCTATACAGGGTCACACAGAGTTGAACAGCTGAACAATAACAAAAATTTCACTGGAGTGAGTATTCCCTCAAGCAATCCCTTAAGAGATGGTCTTCGTGAGTTAATCCCTGTTTCTCCAGAGGCAGCTAGTTAGCACAGAGAAAAGAGCCCTGAACTTGGAGTTAGGAAGACCTAAGTTCAATTCCTTACTCAGACACTGATTAGCTTGATAGCCCTGGGCTGGGCATTCAACCTTTCTCAGCCTCAGTTTCCTTACCTCTAAAATGGGCATAATAATTGCATCTACCTAAGGAAGTTGCTGAGAATCAAATAAGAGACATCATTATAGTGCTTTGCACACCTTAAAGTGCTATCCAGTATCAATTCAATACTGTGAGATCACCAGGTTTGTAATACAAAGCCTGACTCTCCCCAACACCAAACACACACTCTTACACATAGGTCAGATTTCCTTTCAAGGCCCCATGTTACCACTAGTATTATCTGTCTGACCATGGCCCAAGCTCAGTTTCCCTATTTGTGAAATCGGGGTGATAAAAATTGCCAAGCCCGGGAGCTATGGTTCCTGTTATTATCATATTCAGGAATGGAAAAGGAATGTCAGAGGACAATTCTCATTATAATTTCAGGTTCATGTGCCCTTATCTTGCTTTTTAATCTTCAAATGGTATGAAGGGAAACTGTGCTGAATTTGGAGCAGGAAGGGTTTCTGGGAGTTCAGAACAACTGACATATGTGGATATTCATTCTAACAGATTCTCTTCCCACACCACAGATAAACTGGCAGCTGTATGCGCAGAGCAGGAAAAACGTCCAATGTTTAAGTGCCAGAACAAATTGTACTATTAATAGCTTTTTTCATTGGACCATAGCTTCTTGACTTCAATTTATCTCCTGTTGGAAAACAAGTAAACTTTAAATTCTACCACATTTTTACAAAGCCCAGTCAGTTTAGCTATATGAATAGGCCAACTTCAAGGAATCTGGTATAACATTTTCTTGCTTTGGGCAGTGGAAATGAATGTGAGGTTTATCATAGGAAGAAGCATGATTCAGTGAAAAGAACACTAGATTGGGAGTCTGAGGACCTGGGAATCAAATCCAAGCATTGTCCCCTACTGTCTGGGTGACCTTGGGAAATTGTTTCTCTTCTCTGGCCCCCTATTTCTTCATACTTAAAATGGAGGGCTTGAGCTCAATGATATCTAAGGTCCAAAATACAAATACAAAGTATGACTCTCCCCAACACCAAACACACACTCGTACACATAGGTCAGATTTCCTTTCAAGGCCCCATGTTACCACTAGTATTTTCTGTCTGATCATGGCCCAGGTCCAAATCCTTCATTCCTATGATCTCTATGAGCTTCTATTTCATCAATAAAATGGGGATAATTATATCCTGTACTGCCTCTCTCATAGAGTCTTAGAGGAGATCCTATAAACTTAAGATTCTCAGTATCGGAAGGGACCTCAGAAGCCAATCACTGGTCATCATACCCCTGCTTGGAGATCCCTAGTGAAGGAGGACCCACTTCCTCCCAAGGAAGACTATTCCACTTTGGGACAGCTATAGTTGTTAAGTTTTGTCTTACATCAAGGCTAAATTTTCCTCTAAAACTTCCATTTGTTGCTTTTACTTCTGTCCTGTGGAGCCCAAAAGAACAATCTGTCAAATCATCTTTCAGGCTATCACATCTCAAATATTTATTGACCGTTCTCATATCTACCCTAAGTCATCTTGTCTGCAGACTAAAGACTCTACATATGATGTGGTATGGGTTGCTGTCTTTTGGACGTGTTCAAAATAATCAATATCGTTCCTAAAATGTGGCAACCAGAATTTATTATGATACCTGAAATGTGGGCTGACCAAAGCAGGGGTCATCAGCTCTCCAGTCCTGGCTACTATACTTCTCTTAATAAGCCTAATATTATATGTATTAGCTTTTGAGGGGCTGCCATAACACATTGTTGACTCATATTGGGATCTTTTTTAAGATGAACTGCTGCCTAACTATATTCTCCCCACATATCTTACCCTTGTGAAGTTGAATCTTGGAACCCAAGTGTAAGACTTCACACTCATTCATAATAAATCCTATCTTATTAGTCTTGGCTTAACATCCCATCGTATGAAGATATTTTGGATCTTGGCTCTGATAACTAACCCTTTAGCTAACCCTTCCAGCTCTGAAATGAGATTATGGAAGTGCTTTGAAAGCTCTCACAAGTTATCTAGATGTTGACTGCTTACCTTGTGTTGTTTGGGAAGCACGTTGGAAATCTGTGAAATGTGAATGATTATTTCTACTACTACTATTACTATGATTCTGAAACAATGTGGTTTGATCACTGGCTTCTTAAATAACTTACCTCCACTGAGATCCTGGATTTCCATATGAATCAAATCTGGTTCCCCATCTACTCCAGCCACAGCCCTAGGGGAAAAATACATAGGATCAAGCTATATTGAATCAATATAGACCACATCTCCCCTATTAATCACCTTCAATGAATCCTTATTTTCTCCCAAATAATGTACAAACTCCTTAACCCAGCATTCAAGGCTCTCCAAAACTTGGTTCCCATCTACCTTCTCAGCTTTCTCTCTCTCTTTCTCTTCTTCCTCCTTGATCAACCCAACCAGACAAAATAGGCAGTGAAGTGTGATGCAAAGAACATTGAATTTGTAGCCAGAGGACCTAGGTTTGGACCCCAACTCTGTTATAATCTGTAAGATCTTGAGCAAGGCACTTCTGTTCAGATCTTGGTGTCCTCAATTTGAGAATAAAGGGTTCAGAAAAGATAATGTCCCAGATTCTTCTTAAGTCTAAATTCTGAGATTTTACTAGACTATTCATCAAAACTTGAATAATTCCTTTTCTGTCCTGCTTCTTGATCTTTTCTTTCATCATTCCCTATACCTGAAACACTCTCTTATCTCAGCCAGCTGAGACCCCATTTGTGTTTCAATTTCTAGCTGAATGCTGCCTCCTTCATGAAGCTTTCCCTGATCCCTGTCCTTTGAGGGGATTAGAAAAGCAAGGGGTAGTGGAAATTGAGTGAACCACACTGACTCCATCTTGTGACTCAATTCTGCAACTAGCTCAGTTCCTTTTCTTTTTCTTTTTTTTCAAATATTTTATTTTTCCAATTACATGTAAAAACAATTTTAACATTCATTTCAAAAAGTTTTTGAGTTCCAAATTCTCTCCTTCCCTCCTCTCCTCCCTCAATGGGAAGGCAAGCAATTTGTATACATGCAGTCAGGCAAAATGTATCTCCATATTAGTCACATTGTGAAAGAAAACGCAGACCAAAAAATAAAATCCAAGAAAAATAAAGTTTAAAAAGTATGCTTCAATCTGCATTCAGACTCCATCATTTCTTTCTTGAAGGTGGATGGTATTTTTCATCATAAGTCCTTCAGAATTATTTTGGAGCATTATATTGCTGAGAATAGCTAAGTCATTCACAATTCTTCATCATACAATATTGCTGTGTACAATGTTGCTGTGTACAATGTTCTCCTGGTTCTGCTCACTTTGCATCAGTTCATTTAAGTCTTTCTAGGTTTTCTGAAAGCATCCTTGTTCATCATTTCTTACAGCACAATTGTATTATTAAAAAAAAATTGATGAGCAGGATGCTTTCAGAAAGAACCTGGAAAGACTCAGTTCCCTTTCTATTCAATTATAGGTCTACTCCAATTTTTGTCTTGTGAGAAAACATTATTCAGTTGTGGGAATTGTAAGAAGACTTTATTATGTTGTTTGAACCTAACCCTAAGTAGGTTTCAGGTCTGATGATGACACCTTCTTACTCAACAAACTCTTGGGACTCCAAAGTGTATTAGAAGATCAAAATTAAACTCTTCCACTTATCAATTAAAACTCTTCACAACCTGGTCTCTTCATCCCTTCCCCATCTTCTGACACATTATTCCCCACCCCATTCTCTGCAATCTAGAAAACTCACTGTTCCATACATTTAAGTCTTTCTGACTCTGAGGTCATCTCTCCATTCTGTAATACGTTTCCCCTAAATGTAAATCATTACAATTTTAAGTGCTAAGTGAGTGGTACAAATAGACCTTGAGCTCCACAAGGACAAAGACTGTCTTTTGATTTTATCTGTATCCCCAGCCTGTAGCACAATGCCTGGCACATAGGAGGTCTTTAATAAATGTCTGTTGGCTTAAGAGATAGCAAGTGATCTTGGATATGGAATCATAGTATTTCAAGGCTGAAGGGGCCCTTAACAATCATCCCATCACTTTAATTTAATAGATGAGGAATCTAAAACTCAGTAAGGTGAAATTGCTTACTCAATGTCACACTGCTAATACGTATCCAAAGAGCTCTTATTTGCAATTTTGGCACCCAGGAAAGCTTCATAAAACATGCTATGGAAAAGTAGAATGTTGTGTCCCCTTAAACCCATTCTTTCACAAGATACATTCAGTTGGGAATTGCAGGAGACCATTCCAAAGGAGAGAAGCAGAAACCCCAGGACCCTGCTGGGGAAGCCAATACAGGGTAGGACTGGGGAAGAGCTGATCTAGAAGCCAGTACAGGGTAGGACTGGGGAAGAGCTGATCTAGGAGACAGAAAGGAAAAAAAAATAAACCATCTAGAATTTCCTATTTTAACTATTTGTTCTTGCTAACTTGGTGCTAAGCTGGGATACTTTAGTCTCCTGAAGCCTAACTACTATCAGTATGCCTCTATAGTTTTGTACTTTGGGGCAAAACCCTGTTTTCCATGTCTAGGTTGTGGCTCTGCTTATTAGAGCTGGGCTTCCTACCCAGCTTGACTCCAAGACCAAGGAGTCAAGTCAAGTCTTCACAAAAAGAGAAGGATAACTTAACGGTGTTGCCAGGCAGTTAAAGAGACTTTCTATTGCTTTATATCCTTAACACTGAGACCATGGCTTCACTCATATGTGGTAGATGTCCCCATAGCACTTACTGCCTGTGTCCTCATTGATAGCTTAGGTGCATACTGTCTCACCAAGTCTAGCTCTATGTTGTTTTATACTGAAGTCTACTTTAGTATGACTGGATGGCCATGTGTGTTTTCTAGACCCCTAAGCTATGAGTTAGATCACATAGTCTCATAGGATTCAGAGGAAGAAAGCTCCTTAAAGATGCGGTAGTGTACTTCCCTTTCGCTAAAGAGGAGGAAAAGGAAATCTAGAGAATGTAAGGGACTTGGTCGTTGTCCCATTGCTAATAATAATACCAAGATTCAAATCATATAAAATGCATTATGTTTACCACTGCATGAGAGATCTGGATTATTATTCCTGGTCCTGGGTGACAAAATAACACATAGACACAGTATAGTAGATAGAGAGCTAGTCCCAGAATCAAGATGATCTGGGTTTGTGTCCCCTCTGACACTAGTTGTGTTACCCTAAGCAAGCAATTAAACTCTCAGGCAACTCTGATCATAAACTGCAGAGAAGGAAGTCTGCACTGATAGAGAGAGTTTTTTCATTTGGGAGTTCCCTTATAACAAGGAAATCACAGGTCAAGTCCTCTATTCTTTTTGGCTTTTATACCATGAGTATTTCCCAATATTGGTGATAGCCTACTGCCGAACCCTCAACCTCTTTTAACAGACAGGAAGAGTAAAGCAAAACTAACTAACAAACCAGTCACTTCTAAGGCATCTGCAACATTTCCAGTCAGTATGTCCACTACCTTTCTAGTAAGAGGAGAGGAGGGGGTTTCATCGTTTCTTTTGAGGGCCAAGATTGGTGATAGCAATTAATTTGACTTTGGCTTCCCTTTAGTGTTGTTTTTATTTACATTATTAAACTCATTGCTTATGTTGTTTTCCTGGTTCTGCTTATTTCATTCTTCATCGGTTCATATGAGCTTGTCAATTTTCTGAATTTTTCATATTTATCATTTCTATGGAACAATCATATTATATTAGATCCACACACTGAAATTTGTTCAGCCATTTTCCAATCATTGGATTCCCACTTTTTTTTTCTTTCTTAAATTTTTGTTTTCACACAAAGTGCTGGTACAGATATTTTCGTAAATATAGGATCTTTCTATTTTTTAACCACTTTGGGGTACTTGTAGGGACAAAAGTTAGTGACTAATGTAATGATTTTTCTGGAATAATTAGAAATTTTTTCAAAATGGTTGGATCAGTTCTGGGTGCCAGATTTTACAGTAGGCCTTGACAAACTAGATTAGGACAGGCTAGGGACTAAAAGCTATATCCTAAGATGATTGGTGGGAGGAACTGAGTTTGTTTTTTCTAGATAAGAGAAGACCACAGGGAAAGTGTTTAGAGAGCACAGGTGACCAGAATGATGAAGAGATTAAAACTATCATGTGATACTGAAGAAATTGGGAATATTTAGGTAGAGAAGAGAAGCTCTAGGAAGACATAATCACTATTTACAAATATTGGAATTTTTTTATGGAAGAATACATGGATTTTTGTTATTTGGTTCCAGAGAATGTTACTACAACTGGAGGAGGTTAAAGCTACCTTCACTGAGGCTAATTTTGACTCAGAGTAAGGAAAAGGATTCCTTTAGCAACTGGACATACAAATGGTGGAATGGGCTTCCTTATAGGTCGTGAGGTCCCCAATTACTGGAAATATTAAAGCAGAGGTTCAAGTGCCAGTTATTGGGTATGTTGTAGAAGATGTGCTTTGGGCTGGGGTTAGACAAGATTACCTGTGAGATCCTTTTTAGTTCTAAGAGTCTATATTTCTATTACTCAAGAAATTATGAACTCCCTATCCCTAAGGATAGAAACCAGATGACAGCATCTGCATTCCCCACAGAACACAGCCCAAAGCTGCACAAGTTGATGAATTTCCATATGAATTCATGCATGACTGCTGAGAAGTTGGGTCTTGGTTGTCATAATATTCTGGCCAGACCAAAATTTTATCCTCCAGCCAAGGCTGAGGATAGGAACAGAGAATTTTATCCACCAGTAAGCACAGAGAGATGCAAAGATACTCTCAAACCCCAGGGGTGTTAATGAGACAGTGCGTGTGAACATGTCCACAATGAGTCACATAACTCTGCTATGGGGTTGGCTTGGAGGTGAAAACCCTATATTACTCGAGCTGACATTTTCATCTGGCTGTAATAATATCATCATAATGATAATAATCCTGCCTTGGATTTATACAGTGCCTTTCCTCCAACAAGCTCAGAAGTGCAAAACGACAGAGGGAAGGTTGATATTCAGTGCTAGGGATTCTTATAGTAAGACTTATATGTGTTCTGGGATCAATCTTGTAGAATTTTGCATAATAATGATGGTAAGAATAGTCATAGTAATAACTTCCATTTATTTAGTACTTGAAGTTCAAACAGCATTTTAAAAATGTTGAATTTGGTTCTTACAACAACCTTGCAGGATACAATACCTTGTAAATATTATTATCCC